AAAAGAAGGATGTATCTATCTGTCTTACTTTTCATCCAGTCTCAGAGATTTCCCCACTTTGCTTTCTCCCGCCTCCCTAATCTACCACCAGTGGATTTCGTGTAACTCCTTTATGTCACCTCCTTCGATTATAATGTATAGAGCAAGGTGCAGAACTGCCATTCTCTGGAGTGTTTTCTCAATCCCTTGAGATTTTACTTCCCAGCAATCGTCATTGAGTTTGGCTCAAATAAACTCATAAAAATTCTTACAGGTTTGGATGTTTCTTATGTGAACATTTAATAAATAATGATACAAGAATAGAACTCAAGACTGTAAGCTATTTTTGCCAAAGCCTGTATAACCAAAAAATATAACTTATATTTTTAAAAAATATGACAAAATATATATAACATAAAATTTACCATCTGAACCACCTTCACGTGCACAGTTCAGTAGGAAGTATATTCATGTTGCTGTGCAGCCTTTCTCCAGAGCTCTCTCCATCTTGCAAAGCTGAAACTTTGTGTTTGTTAAACAACAACTCCCATTCGCCACCCCCCCGGCCCCGTCCCTGGCAAACGAATACCATTCTACTTTCTGTCTCTATGAATTTAACTCTACTGATTTCGCTCATATAAGCATTTATATTTTGTTTCATTTAGCATGACAGCCTCAAGATTCATCCATGTTGTAGCATAAGTCAGAATTGCCTTTCTTTTTAAGGCTCCACAATACTCCACTGTGTGTGTATATGTGTACATGAGCCACTTTTTGTTTCCATTCCTCTGTTGATTTACGCTTGTGTGGCTTCCATCATTATGCTACTGTGAACAACGCTTCTATGACCACTAGTGTACAAGCATCCCTCTGAGATTCTGCTTTTAGTTCTTTTGGGTATATACCCACATGTGGAATTGCTGTATTATGTAGTAATTCTATTTTTAATTTTTTTTAGGAATTATAGTATACCATTTTAATTCATCTTGCATAATTATTTTTAAGTGTCAGGAAAAAGTCATATTACAAATATTATCATGCATATTTTTAAAAGAGTTTTATGGTACAATATGTTAATCCAAAATAAAATCTTACATAAATTACTGCTCTCTCTATATATATATCAAGCAAAAATTGATGAGTTATTTTTTTAAATTCCCAAATGGTTTTGAGAAGTTACATATTAATGTTAAAGGTGCTCTCTAGTGAAATTCGTTTTGGAATCACTGAATGCAGAGCAAGAAGCAGATTAATCAGTGCAGCAAGGGAGCAAGGACAGCTATTTAATTAAGAGGTATTCGTTAAGCAGTGATTCGCTGTATGTGGTTTTTGATGGGTAGTGCAGAAAGAAGTGGGATCCAGTCCTAAAAGAGTTTAGGATCTAGTGGGCTGGGGCTGGCAGACAGGAGTATAATACATCAAATAACTAGAGGAAAATGACACCCTGAATATAAGTAGGTGCTAAATGTGTGAGACATGAAGGGGGAAAGGTATTTGAAAGAAACTCCACAGAGGAAACAAGCTGTGTCAACACTGAGAGCATAAGAAGAGATAGTTAAGGTTCAAAGAACAGAGCGAGCAAAAGCACAGCGATACCTATGAGTGCACTTTGTAGCTCAACCTGCGTGTGCACCCTCTTACAGGTCTTTGAACTTCTGTGCAGCAGCGAAACAAGTTTCCCGCTAACAAAATACAACTTATCTGTCTTGAAGGGAAAGTTCTCACCTTTTCTCAAAATGTGGAGACACACAGTTGCAACAGTCATTGTATCCACCACTCGTTAGATTAATTACTCATTAAATTTGGGCAGAATCTGACTGAATATTCTGCTACCTAAAGCAGAGATTTTCAACCTTTTTCATCTCATGGCACACATGAACTAATTACTAAAATTCTGAAGCACACCAAAAAATATATTCTTTGCCGATTTGACAAAAAAGTTGGTATGATTTTGCCTGACTTACAAAAAAAATAGTAATAGTGATTACCTACTCTTTTTTGCTCCAAAGTGACTTTTTAAAAAATCAGTTGCCCATACTTGTATCTAAGGGTTTCTGGTACCAAAAATTAACCAATCAGATGCAACCTTATTATGCAACATGACCAGTAAGATGCAACTGACCTATATACAGGGTCTGGCAGAAGTAAAGCTTGCCTGAGTGTGGTTGGCAGCATACGTGAATGTCTCACACAAGGAGGACCGCAACCTAAACATTTCACCTAAAATGTCACATGGTGTGCTTGAGTGTATATTGTTATGTTACAAAATTACATGCTTATGATTTTGTAATAAAAGATTTTTGTAATAAAAAAGGATGCTACTTGTGCCAGACCCTGTTGATGGTTTAAGACAGGGCAGTCACATTAGATGGCTATTGTTGTGTTGGCTGTTGTCATTTTTTATTTGACAATCTAAGGGAAAAGGGGTCAGTGCCTTTGACTATTTAGTCAAGTATTGCATGTTTTAAAAATTCTTGCAGCACACTAGTTAAAAATCACTGACCTAAAGAATAAATTGCAAAGTTACCTTTCAACTATATATACATAAAATAACAATTGGAGAGAGAAGAAAATGGTTAGCATATAAAATAAACACACACATACACATATAAGCAAGCAGAAAAGATACAGAGCTACCACTGTTATCTTTCTGGGACCTGTTGGGAGGCTGTCAGTGATATCCATGTCTTCCTCCTCCCACCACGGGGTCCGCATTTCTCCCACCCTCTACCAGAAACTCGGCTGGTCAAGGTCTTTACCTACTGGAGTGACCAAAACTTTTACTCCCTGAGGGTACGAGTGTTCAGTCCTGCCTTTTTTTTTGGTGTTTGTGGTTTTCCGTTAACCTTTAATGATTGGCATTAAAGTACTAAAGTCCTAAGAAAGGCGCCCCCACATAACTCCCTGGGTTTCAGATATAGTGCTCCTTGCCCGCATTGTATAGTTGAAACCCAAGTTCAAGTCCCTCACCTAGAGTAACTTTTTTTCTTTTGCTAGTTGGTCCAACAGCATAACTCCAAGATGTCCAGCAGGCAGTCTCACTCTCCAGTTCAGCTGAACCACTGTGTCTGCTGATGGGAGCATTTCTCCCATGGGGATGATGACTTCCCAACAGCACTGCTCAATGTCTCGGGGGTGGGGAGAAAAATTCTCCAAATGGGTTATTGAATTTAAGAGAGGACTCACTCTCACTTCTACCCCTTAATGGCCTGATCCATGTGCTCTGCCTATGTAGAGAACACCATATAACAGTCTCACATTCAAAGTATATGCTCTACCCTGTAAAACAGAATCCCATTGTTTTGGGGTGTTGTCTCCCCACTGGCACCACCTCCGACTCTTCAGTAAGCCAGTCTAACTTTCAATTAGGCCAACTGCTCCTGAGTGATGGGCTATGTGGTAAGACCACTTGATTCCATAAACCCATTGCTGTATTTCTTTTGCTGTGAAATGAGCTCCTTGATGAGAAGAAATGCTGTGCAGAATACTGAAATGATGGATGAAGCATTTCATATGTACAAAGATAGCAGGGCTGGCTGAAGTATTATGTTCAGGGAAGGCAAATCTATATTCAGAATACACGTATATTCCAATGAGGACAAATCTCTGCCTCCTCTGTAAAGATGTCCAATGTAATCAACCTGCCACTGGTGGCTGATTGTTGCCCATGGGGAGTGGTACCATATGAGGGGCTTACTGTTGGCCTCTGCTGTCGACAGATTAAGAGCTCAGCACTGGTGTTAGCCAGGTCAGCCTTGGGTAGGGGAAGTCCATGTTTCTGAGCCTGTGCCTAGCCTCCATCTCTGCCACTGCAGCTGCCTTGTTTATGGCCTACCCAGCAAGTGCTGGGGTAAGAGGGGAAAGACTGATTTGTATTCACTGAGTGTGTCATTTTGGCCACCTCATTATTCAGAGTACTAATCTACTTTTTTTCTTGCTCATACCAAAAGAGTTTTGTTTTCTTTATTACTGTTGTTTATTAATTAGCAAGTGGTTTTCTAGCATTTCTGTCTTCCCCTTTCTAACTCCCCACTTCCTTCTAAAAACATTTCGGACATGGCAGGTGTGGCTCTCAGTTGGTTGGAGGCACGTAGTCATGTACACCAAAAAGGTTGTGGGTTTGACCCCCTGGTCAGGGTGTGTGGGAGGCAGCCAATGGATGTTTGTCTCTTAGGTCGATGTGTCTCTCTCTTTACTTTCCCCTCTCTCTAGAATCAATAACCATTATTTTTTTTTAAATTAAATACATTTCCAAGAGTCCCTGGGGGAAGGTGGATGGAGGAAGAAGCCAATAAGTGGAGCTGTGGCCTTGTAGCTCACTGGGATCCAGGTTTATTTTTAAACTGACTTAAGATTCTCTGAGTAAATATATACATATATATTGGTCCCAAAATATGCACGAGAAGGTTCTGTCTCACCTTTTTAAAGTCCATTAAGTTCTTTTGAGAAAGCATGGGTGGGTGGGGGAGGGGGTCAAACTTGTTCCTTAAAATGTCAATACTCCAAGCTTAACCAGCCTCAGGAGCCGGACGGTACTACTGGGGAAGTTGTGCAAGAACAGGAGCCTCCTCTCTCTGAGACCATGGACAAGCCATGGAATCCTTGGTTTTATTTCCTGTAAAATTGGGGTAAACAAACTTACTGGGTGATTCAAAGAGCAAAGTTAATAATGTAAGTAAAAGTACTCTGAGAAACAACAATGCTGGTTTATTTGAACAGGGATGCGGAGCAGCTGGGATGCCCACCTGTGGAAGTTATGTTTTTTAAGGATTTCATTTTTTAGAAAGAGGGAAAGGGAGAAAGAAAGAGGGAAAGATCTACCCGCTGCCTCTCCCACGCGCCCCAGCGGGGGACCTGGCCTGGAACCAGGCATGTGCCTTGACCGGGAATCCAACAGGCGACCTTTCACTTTGTGGGTGGACGCTCAACTAACTGAGCCGGGCGGGTCAGGGCGCAACTAGCTAGGTTATTATCCTGTTCTCCTAGCTCATTAGCGCCTCTCCGAGGAGTCGAAGGCTCGTCTCCATGGCAACCGCTCAGCCATCCCAGCTCCGCCCCCAGTCCCTCCCGACGACCGGAAGCAGCCTCCAGACCCGCGCTTTCCTGGCTTCTCCCCGGTACCGTGGGTCGTCCTTCCCCGCCCCGAGGTGAGAGCCGAGGCTTCTTCTCCGCCGCCAGGCCACGGGGAGAAGCACCCTCCACCCCCTTGGTGGCAGCCCTCCCTTTCCACCGCGCACCCTTCTTTATACCCCTCGCCATCCCCCCTCCCTTCGTGCTCCCAGCAGTTTCCGCGGCCCCCACCGGGTCCCTGTGTCTCCCTGCTAGTCCCCGCACGTCCGCGGACCCCCTCCCCTTGTCTTCCTCCGCGGCGCCTGCCCCCTCAGGTGAATCCACTGGCACCCCCCACCCTCCGCGCGCACCCGCCTGCTCTCCGCGCGCCCTCCCCTGGCGCCCGGGCGCCTCCTGCGGTCTCGCGGAGTTAGGTCCTTGCCCGGGAGGGGAGCCGCGGGGTTTGGGGGCGGGGTGAGGGTAGGGGGACACTGTCTTGAGCCTTAGGTAGCCAGCCCACTTGGAGCAGGCCCACCGGAGGAGGGATTTGGAAGTGAGTGTCGGTCCTCTCCGTAGAAGACCCCGCATCCTGGGCTCTCGATGAAGCCTCCCTTCCAGGGACCGGGTTCGTTCTACGCCCTCCTGCGGCGTTGGGGGGTGTAGTTCCCGCTTCTCTTGTGTAAATCTGAGCGGTACTGTGGAGACGGCACAGGTTTGGCGGCAGCTATCTCTCTCTCCTGCGACTTCCAGAAGCTGCTTTAGCTTAGGGGCCCTCAGTGGAACGCCCCAGAAGGCTCCAAACTCGGCCTTGACCCTTCCGGCCCCTCCGGTCTTCACCCCAGACTTTATTCCGGCCCAGGATCATCTGGGTCTACTGCTCCTCTGATCTGGGACTCCTGCCTCCGGCCTCTTGACCACGCTGTTCAGTGAATGAATGTGGATGGCCTGGGTTCAGACCCCAGCCCTGCCCCGTTGCCCACGTTACCTGAGCTTGCCCTGGTTTCTCATCTACAACATGGGGATGAAAATATCCGTACAGGGCTTTCGTGAGGATTTAAATGAGTTTATATTTATGAAGGTACTCAGAACAGTGTTTGGCTGCTATCGGTGTTAGCTGTTATTTGCAGCGTATCATATCGCTGTGTAAGTTGTATCCTATATTTGGTAACGTTGGTGTGTCTTCTGCTAGAGTATAACCCTTAAGAAGCCATAGGCTTTGCTCACATCACCAATATGTCATCAGTGCCTAGAACAGTGCTTGGTGAAGAGGGGGAAAATGACAGGCTATATAAAGGAAAGAATAGGGGCCCCTTAGTGTTGCAGGTTCGATTCCCAGTCAGGATACATGCCTGGGTTGCACGCCACGGACCCCAGCAACCGCACATTGATGTTTCTCTCTCTCTCTCTCTTCCTCCCTTCCCTCTCTAAAAATAAATAAATAAAATCTTAAAAAGAATAGGGGCCCCTATAAGATTATTTTAATTGGTCACCAGATACCTGTCATCACTGAACTGATGATATTGAAATGGTACTATGTAAAATGGTACTGTCTATAATGTTATACTAAGAAAAGTATCTGTCCATCCCCGGGAACAAGCTAATGAGAAGTTGCTGCTTTCATACATGATTATGTTGCTGGTGGCATTGTGAATTGATAGTCTCTTCTGTAATTTATGTGATAATACCTAATAAGACAGAATTTGCCACTGTCTTTTGGCCTCAATAAACAAGGCCGTGGGACATGCTTGAAGAAAATAATTTGAAAGAAGAAAAATAGTATATTCATGAAAATATGCCTCCAAGCCTAATTTATAAAAGTAAAAATTAGAAACATTTTAATACTCTACAATAGAGATACAGTTAAGTAAATAATATAGATGTTACAGATGGGAAGTGGAAGTGAGTGTGGAAAATAGAAGTACATTAAGATGGAGGGATTTGCTATAACTTTTTAAAATGGTTTCTTTAATGTCAAAATAATATCGTTTTAAAAATTACTAAACTTCAAAAAAACGCAGAAGTACTTCTCTCAGACTATTTCTTAGAGCTCTTTGCAGCAGGCTAGAAAAGATTAATTGGCTCTTTGAGCCTGCCCCAGAGTCATAGCTTTTCTCCTCTTCCCTAGTTCTGCATTCCAAGAGCTCCTGTGCAGTCCTGCCTGGTCTTACTGTGATATTTAGTCAGTCTTGGCATGATTTTCAGTATAAATTGGGAATTACTCATGAATATGAATTAATGAATCTTAAGCTCTTTAATTCTCTCTTTTTTCTTTAAAGATTTTATTTATTTATTTTTAGAGAGGGGAAGGGAAGAAGAAAGAGGGAGAGAAACAGCAATGTGTGGTTGCCTCTCACACGCCCCCTACTGGGGACCTGGCCCAAAACCCAGGCATGTGCCGAAACCCAGGCATGTGCTGTGAATGGGAAACCAACTCTTTGGTTCGAAGGCAAGCACTCAATCCCCTGAGCCACACCTAAAGAAGGAAGTATTCTTTGAAAGCGTGGTTTACCCATATTTTGCTGTGTATAATGCATACCTTTTTGCCCAAATTTTTGAGGGAAAAGTAAGGATGCACATGATACATGGGTATAATGATTATGTTCCACAGGTACGTAATAATACGTATAATATTCTCGTACATATAATAATCTCGTATATAATGTGAACAAGAAGAACGTGGGTGTCCGTTATACACCGCAAAATACAGTATGTTAAGATTAAGAGGAGTGCTTTCTCTACAGTCTTGATTCTAGTCTTAGTTGTATTCTAAGAAGCATTTGTCTTTGTCTTGTTTCTACTCGTTTCTTTCATTGTATTTAAGGATTATCCATGAGGAGAGCTTCACCTCCTTGAAAATTAAAGCCTGGCAGTCCTTAGCTATTCCCAGTCCAAATGTCTGAGTCAACATTCCTGCCACAAACTTCAGAAGAGCCTGGTAGCATCCTGGTAGTGAAGATGGAAGGGAAAGAGGAGTCCTGTAATCAGGAATCCCGCCTCCACTTGAAAAGCTGTTATAGCCCGGAAACTTTTCGCCTACAGTTCAGGCACTTTGGCTACCAGGAGTCCCCTGGGCCCAGGGAGGCTCTGAACAGGCTCCGGGAGCTTTGCTGTCTGTGGCTGAGGCCAGAGGTGTACACCAAGAAGCAGATCCTGGAGCTGCTGGTGCTGGAGCAGTTCCTGGCCATCCTGCCAGAGGAGCTGCAGGCCTGGCTGCGAGAGCACCGACCGGAGAACGGAGAGGAAGCCGTGACTATGCTGGAGGACCTGGAGAAAGAGCTTGATGGGCCAGCAGAGCAGGTAAGAAGACATCTGTGGGGATGAGTGACCAGGGTGTGTCAAGAGCTCTGGCAAATCACTGCGGGTAGAGCTCTCAGACTGTACTCCCATTCAACCGGTTGTGTAGCTGGGTAAATGTACTCGCAGCTGTGCCAGAAAATAGAATGTGGCTCTGCTATTTTCCTCCCTTTTCCTGTGTCTCAAGATATTTTCTACATAGTTTCTTCTGTCTTTATCCTGAAGTCCCAACCCAATTTCTTTCTTCAACCTCAGATAACCTAACTGCTTTCAGGTTTTTGGACAAAATGAAGACACACTTGCAGAGAAAATGGCAGCATGGGCCGTCACTCAAGAGTCACCAAGTGGCCCACTGAAGCCTGCAAAGCAGCAGCTGCAGTGCACACCCCAGGAGCTGCACCCCTCCAGACAATACGGTGAGGGGCGGGGTTTAGTTCCTGGCGCAGGGCAAAAGCAGACTCAGCCCACTGCACACATCTCAGCTGTTCCCCGCCTGGGGTCTCAGATCTCCGCTCCGGCCTCCTCTCTACTGTGGGAATTTCTACCACTGTATGTTGTGCTAATGAACATGCTCAGTGTTTTCTTCTTCTTTCTAGTAGATTCTATAAAATCTGCAGATTTTTAACATTCTTGCCATCATCTCTATCAGGATTTTCAAACCCTTTTAAAGCAGCATGACCCGTTCCTCAAATGACATTTACACAGAGTTCCATTATATAAAACAGATAAAAAGACAGCTACTCTGACTGAATCAGGACAGTGTCAGCCCACAAGGGCTCCAACGTGGCCTTGTTCCAACCTCTTACTATCAGGAGGCCTGAAGTCCTTCTTGAGGACCCCAAAGTTACAGTTAAAGACCATTAATCTACATTATTTTGTGTAACTTTCTGCTCAGTTATTGGTGAGATCCAGTATCAAAATTGCCATGTTGCTGCTAAGATTACTCTACCCTCTCACAGTGCTTTCAATGTGTTTCTCTACCCCTTCCCATTCTAAACTGGCCTCTGTAGTTCCTTGCATTATTTTTACAGAGGTGCTCCAAAATGGCCTGCACAGCAACCTGTTCTTCCGTTGCAAATACTACAAAAATAAGTGCTGTGGGCAGTGGGAACAAGGCACGATAAGGGGGACGAATGAAGCAGGGATAGGGTTTTATTAAACACGGTGGTGGGGAAGGCCTCTCTGATGAGGTGTCATTTGAGCAGAGACCCACCTAGGTGATCATCCTCGATAAAATGGGAGCCAGAGATGAAGAGGGAAACCCCATCTCTGGGGGGACTTTCCTCTCCCCTGCCACTGCTCCTATATTCCAAGGGAGGCTGATTCGCTAGCAAGGTTAGTTTTTTCAAGGGAATTTTGATAAGAAACTACAGGGGGAAAAAAGTGTGTGTGTGTGTGTGTGTGTGTGTATATGTGTATATATGTATATACACAATATGTATATATATAAAAATTTAGATGTTTAGAAAAGATTTCTCTTATTTGAAAACTGTCTACTCCCGAGAGGCTTGTACTGAGCACTTAGCATCTCCAGTCTAGCAATTGCCTTGGCTTAACGAGGAGAAAAGCGGGAGAAGTGGGAGTCTTTCCACACGCCGCCGTCAGGATGGCGTGGGAAACCATCCGGCCTCAGCAGCTGTGTGTGGTGATGGCTGAAAAAGCCATCAGCTGCAAAGACAGGTACTGGGCTCCTGTTGTTGGCGAGAATTAGGTTCTACTTGGGACTAGAAATTTGAAACCAAATTGCAAATAGATGCGGTTCTGTTTGCATAAATTTTGTTTCAAATTTCTTTGCAAATAGATGCGTAGAAATTAAAACCAAAAGCAGAAGGCCCAGGATCTTTTAATTCAAGACAGAGAAAACCAGAATCATGATAGGCTACTGGAAGCATCTCTTAAGGCTGCCGCGTGATTTCTGTATGCAGAGTCAGATCAGAGCCTCTGCAGGTGATCACAGTCTCTGTGCTATCAAGTGCTAACTGTTGCCAGGGTTTTGATAGTAATGCCTAGACACCGAGGTCTCTTTGGAAGGAGTTTCTTACAATTAATAAGATAAGTGATTTCTGTTTAAACCAGTAATAATGCCATCCAGTTAGAAGTATAAAATACACAGAAGAGTGGAGGGTTTTTGTGGATGGGTACTCTGTGCTACCCTTGATCTCTTGAGGTGTTATCATAGTCTGTATTCTCCCACCACACTTTTTTTTTTTGCCTCACTTGTATTTTCTGACCTTATTTTCCATATTTCTTTTGACCCTTTGGCTTTTTTCATCTCCTTCCTTTGCTTAATTATTGATTCATTTATCATTATTAAATTTGTTTTGTTGATTGACACTCCTGTTTATTACTACCTACTGTCACATTTGAGTTCTCTCTTTCAGCTGCTCCTCTGTTTCTCCAATAATTCCTCCTCACTAAAGCCCTTTCTTTTAGTCCAGACTTCCCTCAGCCTCTGGCATGTGTTTTTACCCCGACTCACCATTCTGCCTTTTACTTAGAGCTTTTCTTACTGCTATCTGACTGCCTCCTCTGACTGTAAGTTTCCCTGGCTCTGTGATCTCAGTGTTTTCTGTGTTACCCTCTCCACTCTCCACATTGCGACACTCTTTTACAAACGTGCTACCTAATAAATGATCCATGTGTGTTTCATTTGGATCTTTCTACTTTCCTTTCTTTCCTTCTGAACAGAGAACAAGTGACATTTGCTTTTCTGTGTATTATTTCAGATAAAGACACTAGAACTGTAAATGTGAAGTCAGCTTCAAAGCAAAGGACTTCTTCGGGGATAGAACTGCATTACGATGTTTCTAACATCGTTCATGTGAATGCTGCCCAGAGTTTCCGGTCTAGAGGAACTGGCGAACAAAGTGGCCTGTTTGAAAGAAGTCATAGAAATCCTTCTCGAAAGAAACAACACAAGTGTGATGAATGTGGCAAAACCTTTAGTCAGAGCTCCGCCCTTCTGCTACATCAGAGAATCCACAGTGGAGAGAAACCGTATGTGTGTGACGTGTGTGCAAAGGCTTTCAGCCGAAGCGCGGTCCTGATTCAGCATCGAAGAGTCCACACCGGGGAAAAACCTTACAAGTGCCATGACTGCGGAAAAGCCTTCAGTCAGAGCTCCAATCTTTTCAGACACAGAAAAAGTCACAGTAGAGGAAGAAGTCTCATCAGTGTTATGAGGGAATCAAAGCATTTACTGAGAACTTTGTCAACAGAAGAAGAAGACAAAAGGCACAAACAACTTAGTATAGATCAGTGGTTCTGAAGAGCACCGGTTTTCTTTCCAAGGCCATAAAAGCCACAGGGGGAATAGAGGCTATCTTATGTCAGCATTGTTGGCTTTTCTGCTTACCAATACTGTGTCCATTCAGATGTTTAAGATTCTAAAGCTTAATTGAAATTTCCGTCCCTAGGGTAGCCCTTGAAAAGAAATTCTCAGACATTTCTACTAGTCCCACCCTTAGCACAAATGATAAAATAGCACAGTTGACCCTTGAACAGCACTGGTTTGACCTGCACAGTTCTACTTACATGTGGATCTTTAAAAGTAAATATACAGTTGGCCATGTGTATCCCTGGGTTTCTACTACCCGCAGACTGAAAACAGTGTTTTTTGATCTGCGATTTGGAGTCTGTGGGTGCAGAGGGCCAACTTTATACATTGTCCTACCCCATTTTATATGAGGGACTTGAACATCTGCAGAGTTGGGGGGAGGGGGAAAGGTGACCCTGGAAGCAATCCTCTGCAGATTCTGAGGGACCAATGTGTATTTCTTTTTAAACAAGTACATTTCTCCTGTTGAGAAGGAAGGTGAGTTAGTGTAAAAATAGACATTCTCTTCCATTTCATACCACTGAGATTTGGAGTTATCAGACCAAAGATAAAAGCACTTTAAAAAATTTTTTCCCATTTTGTTTTCTGTTACCAGATTCAGAATATGAGAATAGGATGGAAGAGGCCCAAAAGAGTATGTACCTCAAGATCTAGGCTGAAATGTTCAGGGTCATTGTCAGGAGGTAGGTGAGTAAAGGGGCTTAACCTCTATGAAAACTCACAAGAGCCTACACATTACTGATAAGACTAAGACATTTCCTGTGTAGGAAAATAAAAAATCTCCTTTACAATGTAATTTGTATATAACTTAGTAAAAACATTAAGATGACTCACCATGTCTTCAGGGAGTGGCTTAAACATAAGAATTGTTCTGGTAATAAATCGGGTTGTCTGTGAGTGCTCATGTAAGGTTGGTGATCACCTCGATATAAAGGAAAAAGGGAGATGAAGAAAAGACTGTCCAAACGAGACTGACCAAGGTAACTCAAATGCTGGCAAGTGCGGTGTGGAACAGAGAAGTGTCCTACGACTTACCTGGGAAAGGAAACCCTGGACAGCTGATGACTACCCTTCAGGGTTCTTCCCGGCCCCTTTCTGGCATAAATTACCTGTGAACATGTTGCAGGCATCACAAGACAGTCTTTTCAGGGTTTTGTGCATTCTTAATAAGATGCGTTTCTAGACAAGCTGTCACAAAGCGAGACCCTGGATTTCAATGTTCTTATACTAATGAAAACACTACAGTAAATTTAGAGTTCACCCAAGTTTTATCCACATTCAATCCAGTCCCCTGTTTAAATATAAAATGACTGATTTTTATGTTATTAAAATTATTCTGACAGTGTACAACATAATTTTCCCTTCTCTAGGCGTTCTTGGTAAGACTGTGTATTACAAGAATATATGTATTATGGTGTTTCCCATGGTGCCACAGTTACCCAACCTGGAGGCAGACAAGAAGTGAGAGCCCTGGGATGAGAAGAGAAGAGGGGCTCATAGCGAACTTCACCTAAGCGGTTTCCTCATGAAGTATAAACATTTCATTGTCAGAAAACCCAACTATATCTAGTGTTTAGATTAACTCCAGAAACAAATGTGGGATTACTGTGCTTTGCTTAGTTACTGTATTAATAAATATAAGATTAGTAGGGGGAAAAATAAACGTAAATTTTAACTATAATTTTCTGATAGTGATTATATTTTATAGTTCTAGGGAATATGAATATATACTGGGGTTTGTATATGTTCCATTATTCAAAATGTAGGGAGTCTGCCCTGGCTGGTGTAGCTCAGTGGACTGAGCACGGGCTCAGCAAACCAAAGCGTTGCAGGTTCAACTCCCAGGCATGGCATATGCCTGGGTTGCAGGCCAGGTCCTCAGAAGAGAGTGCAACCGCACATTGATGTTTCTCTCCCTCTCTCCTTCCCCTCTCCTCTCTCTAAAAATAAATAAATAAAATCTTTTTAAAAAATGTAGGGAGTCTATTTGGTGCCTGTTCTCTAAGTAAAGAGAGGAATAAGCCATCTATTACAGCAGCAAATGCCTGAGAGATGTGTATTTTGTGAATTACTGCTCAGTTGTGGAAAGACAGTTTCTGAGGCACTGTGTGAATAAAATGACAATCCAAATCAAGTATTTCTGAGGGAAGTGTGGGTTCACTTGGGGTGGTCATAAACTACAAAGTTGCATTCTCTGCACTGTGGATAATCTGAGCTCCTCCATCAGAAAGTAAGGTGAATCATATCATCTAAGTACATGATGAATTTTTTTTTTAAAGATTTTATTTATTTTTAGAGAGAAGAAAAAGGAGGGAGAAAGTGGGAGAGAAACATCAATGTGTGGTTGCCTTTCATGTGCCCCCCCACTGGGGACCTGGCCAGCAACCCAGGCATGTGCCCTGACTGGGAATCAAACTGGCGACCCATTTGTTCACAGGCTGGTGCTCAATCCCCTGAGCCATCTCACACCAGGGCACATGATGGTGTTTAAATGGTGTTGCTGTGTACTTGAAGTTATCTTGCACTTACAGAGGTCTCCTAATGAGTGGAAGATACTATATCTAAATGAAGAATTACTATGACTTGAGCTAACCTTGATAAAAATTAGCATGATATTAGTACCCATTAGATTGATTTTTTTCACAGATAGTAAATAGTCCAAAGTGAAATTGGTATTTTTAAAATGAATTTCACTTCATCTGGGCCTTCAATATTATATCTATAATCTGATGTTCCATCCTTCACTGCCATTTTTTTTTAAACATGTCCGTCACTGTCCTTAAGGCTTCCTGCAGCAGGAATGCTTTGGGAAGCAAAATCCACTTTTTGTGGCTTAAGCAAATAAGACCGCAGAAATCGAAGGGAGAGTTGGTAATGGTCTGTCTGGTGCCCATCTTTGGCCTTTACCTCATGCTTGCTTTCTCAGATATGCATGAAAGCCTCCCAGCTCCAGGAACAGCCTCTGGGGTCTGACAGGAGAAAAGTGGAAATGGGGCATGGGCGTGGCTGTCTACCAGGAAAAGTAAGAGCTTTCCAAGAACCCCAACAAAATCTTGCTTACGTTTTCTAGTTGTGTGTCTGGTAAAGTAAGTGTTTCTAACCAGCAGCAGCAGGTCAGGTGGGGATTGGGAACAATGTTGAGTCAACCAACAGTGTAGCCATACTCCTTCTTTTGGCCACCTTCATCATGGGCAGATGACTATGATTTTACCTCCTGCATTACAGGGGGGAAAAAAAAAATTACAGCTCCAGCAACCTCCTACCACCAAATTTGCCAATTTATCCATACTTCTTCCATAATTTCTTCTTTTCAGAATGAAAGAGGGCTCTCTCCTTGTTGATCTGGACTCTAGGCAATACTGTGGTAGTAGCACAGCAATGGCAGAGGTCACAGGGAAAGCTCCTTATACTTGAAAGGGAACCCTTTGCTCTGATCATAGGAGCTTTGGTCCCAAGAGCATGGTGCCAATCCCCATTGCCTTTATTCTCTGTGTCATCCACTGTTTGGACCAGGATGCAGACATAGTTGAGGGAAGTAAACAGTAAAGAGTAGGGAAAACAAAACTCCAGCTTTCTAACTGGATGACTAGTAATGGAGGCCTCAGGAAGCCCAAAAGTGTTGGATTTATTGCATTGAGGAGGGAGACCAAGTATGATCCCTAAAAGTAGTGTATGAACTCCTCTGCTCACCTCTAAGCTGCACATGTGTGGTTCTGACCCTAAACAGCAGACAGCAGGCATAGAGAACAGCTAGAGTAGACTCACCCAGAACCCAGACTGGCCACTGGGTGGCATACACAAAGGACAGATCCAGATTGCACTGGAAGTGCTGTTCCTGGTGTGGCTCAGTGGAGGTGTGGCTCAGTGGTTGAGTACCAGTCTGCAAATCAAAGGGTCGCTGGTTTGATCCCCAGTCTAGGGCACATGCCTGAGCTGCCGGCCAGGCCCCCAGTGGAGGGCATGTGAGAGGCAACCACACATTGATGTTTCTCTCCCTCTCCCTCTCCCTCTCCCTTACCCACTCTAAGAAATAAATCTTCAAAAAAAAAAATTACACTGAAAGTGTTTGAAAACAGAACTTCCTTTGGACCCACAGCCCACACAATGCAGATCAGAACTTGTGGCTTGATGCTAGCGAGGGCCATTGCCTGCTAAAACAAGTCAGCTTTCTCTTTAGGGTTTAGATGATACCCAGACTCTGAGAACATAATATTCAAAATGTGCAGGATACAATGCAAAATTACTAGGCACAGGAAAAACCTGGAATGTCTCAATTTGTAAGGAAAAATTAAATTATGCCAGTGCCTAGGTAACAAAGATGTTAGGAATATCAGAAAAGAGTTTATTAACTTACCCCATTTTAATTTATCCCTTATCTGTATCTTGTCTTATAAGGGCACTAGTCCCATCGTAAGGGCCCCGCTGACACAACTTTTTCTAAACACAATTCCTGAAAGGCCCATCTTCAAACACCAACACAGTGGGGGTCAGGGCTTCCACATGTGAACTTGGGGAACCGGCACAAACATACAGTCCATAACACTGTATGACCCAGCAATCCCACTTCTAGATACTCACTCTAGAGAAATGAAAACTTGTGTTCATGCAAAACCCTGTCCATAAATATCCAAGTAGCTCTCTTCATAATTGTGCAAATCCAGAAACACCCCAAAAGTCTTTTGATAGTTAAATGGATAAACAAGCTGGCACAGTAAAATACTACTCAGCAATAAAATGAACTATTGAGATAGGCAACCACACAGATGAATCTTACAGTCAATATGCTCAATGAAAGTAAAGGGCATTATGCCTAGTGCAAGGTACGTAAAAGCTTGCACACTTTATGATTTCATTTATGTTGTTTTATGGAAAAGTCAAACTATTCTGTCAGGTAATAAGTAGGTGGTTGCCACCAGTTAAGTATGTAGGAAAGCTGTGAGTGCATCCAGGGGGAATTTTATGGAATGATGGAACTATTCTGTATCATGATTTTGGTGGTAGTTTCACAAATCTACACATACGTTAAAACAGAGTATATGCCCCAAAAGGTGATTTTACTGTATATAATTTTTTTAAAGGAGCAGAACTCCATGAAATAGAGAACAAATAATTGAGCAAATAAAGCCAAAAGTTGATTCTCTGAGAGATTAATAATACTTATAAACTTTAAGCAAAGTTGATAAAAACCCAAAACAAACAAATTACCAATTTCAGGAATGAAAGAGGGGTCATCACTACTGGTCCTGTAGACATTAAAAGAATATTAAGGAAATACTATGAATAACTTTATGCCAATAAATTTGACAACATACATGAGTTACATACATTTCTTTTAAAAATATTTTAAATTTTAGAGAGCAGAAGGGGAGTGAAAAAAGAGAAAGAGAAACATCAATTTGTGGCTCCACCCATTTATGCAGGCATTGGTTGATTCTAGTATGTGCCCTGACCAGGGATTGAACCTACAACCTTGGCATATTGGAACAATGCTCTAACCAACTGAGCTACCAAATCAGGGAAAATTAGATACATTTCTTGAAAGACAAAACTACTTCTTCTTACATCTCATTGACCAGAATAGAATATTATGGCCATTCCTAGTTGCCACAGAGGCAAAGTGAGTACCTGGCAAGGGAAAAGGTGGTCATGGATGGCTCAGCTCAATCACAACACACTGCCTGTGGCTGGGCAGAGTGTTGCCTGTCTCTCCCTCCCAAATCAAAACAATTGGGGGTGTATTAGAAGGGGAGGGCTTTGCGTAGGAAGCTAATAAAGTCTGCCACAGTTAGGACTTTAGTCATGTGCAAACAGAAGATTCTAGCACTGTACTTACCAGCTACAATAAAATGAAATCTTTAACCAGTGTACTTAAAGTCCCTGGAGAGAAAAACTTTCGAGCTGAGGAGTGGGACTGAGAACTCCTAAATAATTGTTAGAGAAAAGCCTAGAAAAGACTATTCTTGGGTGAAACTGACAACACCATATCTGAAGGTCTGTGCTTCTCTTCCAAAGTGAAACACTTCTTCTCTCCCTCTGTCTCGTCTCAGCGTGCCTCCCTTACCCCTCAGCACACTGCCTCACTTAGGTTTCCTGCATGCGCTCCATTCTGCTCTACTGCGGTACTTCTCCACTGATGTGTGGGTCACCGGCCAGCAGTGATCACGGAACTCTGCGGATGGCTCGTCGAAAATGCGAGAAAAAACATGCACAGAGACAGACTAGTTTCTGTGGAGAAGTAGGGACGGGATGGCCACCCCCTCTAGTGGGAAGTGTGCCAATTTGCTGTCCAAACCTGCTTTTATTGGGCTCCTTTTGCATAAGAATTCAGGTAAAGCACATTACTCATTACAAGGAAGTAAGGATCAAACAATAGATAGCAAGGAACTCTGCAGGTCTATTTTGAGTCAGGGTCAAAGAGCTGTAAGACTTTTAAGGAACAAATTAACTTCCTCCTTGAACCCTTCTCATTCAACTGAGAGCATTCTAAACAAAGAAGGTTTCACAGGAATTTACATGTTCTTTCTTAGGCCTGATCACCCAGGGAACCTGCCCTTTTCAGCACAGAGCTGCACCACCCTGTCATTGTTTCAGGCTTAGGTGGAGCAAGGGAAGTGAGGCAACCAAGAGATAAGGAGATTTTCTCCCAGACGATGAGGAATCAGGCTATGTCAAAGCGGAGGAGCAAGGGTCCATCACCCGCTTTTGCTGTAGCCCTCAAAGTCCTTTCTTGGGGGCCTCCCACATGATCGTGCCTGTCTTAGGTCATTCCCCCCTTGGGGAATCTTAACCGTCATTGGCTAACCGACCAAGCTTTGGGGTTCGGTTATGAATGAAGCAGCAGAAGCAGCGCTCCTGCCAGAGAGATAAGCTTTTCTCCTTGCTGGCTTACAGTTCCAAGAGTGTTCCCTCAGCCTTAGCCTGGGTGGGGGGGCGGGGGTTACAGCTTCTGATACCAGGCAGGGTGGTTCCCAACACTCCACTGCCTTGCAAATACTTTTTTTTCTTGTCTATTTTGTTAAGGAGATGGTGATGCTAAAAGAAATCATGATTTTGTTTTAGTTATCTTTAGTTCTCTGGAACCTCTGTAGTACCTGTTGTTTTTTTTTTTTTAAACAATTTATGAGATTCATTTAAAACACTGAGTGAGATAGTTTTAAGGCAAAGTTGAAAGTTTTGTCTAGCAAAGAAACAATAATCTGTCCTTTTTAGATTCAGACAGATTATTATTTACACAGACAGTGAAAGCGAGATTAGCTACAAGTATCAGCCACTCATGAAATTCTGTCTCACACACCGAAAGGACGACACCGAAACAAAAGGAACCAGATGACGGCAACGTGAATTGTGAACTGCCTAGTGCTGCGGGCTGATGCCATGCTGCTTCTAAGCCTTTTCATAGTCTGCAGCTGTACAGAAGGGGCGGGGTGGGTGGGAAGCAGAAGGCCTTAATCACAACCCAGGAAGCAAGGAGAAATTGTCTTCTTCCTTGGAAGACTGGGAACTGAGTGGCAAATGGCCTTGTAGCAGCTACTTGCAAACCCCTCATGCTCTCATGTTCTGGGAGGATCACAAGGTGTTCTGCCAAGACTCAGATCAGCTGCTCTTCAAGCCTTGCTTATGTGGCCTGTGTAGATATGTCCAAGGTTGTCCAGTGCTGGCATGAAGCTATTCATTACATTCAGGTTGCTCATAGGAACAAGATGCTTTATCTTGACTATTTTTTAAAAATGTATTTGAGAGAGAGAATTGATTTGCTGTTCCACCCATCATCCATGTGTTCACTGGTTGCCTCTTGTATGTGACCTGACCAGAGACTGAACCCATGATCTTGGTGTATGTGGATAATGCTCCAATGAACTGAACTACCAGACCAGGGCTTGACTAGATCTTTAAGAGGCCTTCAAGGACCACAATTCAGAAAAGAGCCTACATAGTGGGGCTCAGAGGGTGGTATTTCAAAGAGGTGTCAGCCCTTGCCCTCAAAAGAGGAAAACCTCATTGTGGTTTCCACTTACTCTCTTAAAAAGAATTAGGAACTATAGAGCGGAATCCCAGCCAAGGGTTTTGTAAAATTTTGCAACATGTTTAACTTCCTTAAGTGTTTCTGTTTGATGATCTTTTCTGTTTTCCAACATTAATTACATGTAAATTAAAGTAAAACAAAACAACAATGCCTGGAGATAGCCTTTAGAGTCACCAAAGAGGGAAAGATAATAAAAGCAGCCAAGCAGATTAGTGGCAGTAACCAAATAGAGGACTAAAAAAGCTGGACTTCTGAGTCCTCCTAAATGAAGAAAGAAAGAAGAGGATCAGAGTTAGGATCTCCCAGGAGTTCTGGGGAGATGAAGTTTGGGTCACAGTACAAAGTAGTACTATACTGTCAGCTGCTCCCTGACTTGCTCTCTCATTTACAAATTGATCAGGGGCTGAGGGCACTTTGCAGAGGGCACTTTCTTGAATGAGGAAGAGAACCAAAACCTGAACTTGCAGTGCTTCTGGAAGATTGGAGCTACTTTAAACAATAGGACTCTTGTGTGGTTTCTGATGCCTGACATGTGACCTAGCAAAGGCACCAATGAGGCCAGCACAATCCATTCATTTATTCAACAAATATTTGTTAAGTTCTCTATAAACCCAGCTGCCAGCATCCTATGACTAGTTGGGGGTACTATGTTGAACAAGACAGGCAAGTTTCCTGCCCTTCTAGGGCATCCAAAAAACAAAACAAAACAAAAACAAAACATGGAAATGAATACATCGAATCACTTTTAATAGTGCTACATAGGGTGGGAAGGCTCCCAGGAGGAAAGGCTGTCAGTGAGGCAGAGGATCCTGGGCCAATGTGAACCTCAGCTTTCAGACAGGGAAGGTAGGGAAAAGGCAGAAGTAATGAGTTTTTATGTTATGCTTAAGGCAGTGGGGATCCATTGAAGGCCTTTATTTTATTTTTTAAGATTTTATTTATTTGTTTATTTTAGAGACAGGGGAAGAGGGGAAGAGGAGAGAAACATTGATGTGAGAGAGAAACATTGTAACCTGTGAATTGTAACCTGTGACTGTTCACTTTGCAGAAAATCGCTCAATCAACTGAGCCACACCAGTCAGGGCCTGAAGGACTTTAAATGGGAAATAAAGTAGTCTGATTTATGTTATTAAATGATCGCTTCAGCAGCTGTTTTGTGGTATAAAATGGCCAACCTAAATTAGTCAGATGACCATGAATTCTACAACTTTAACGTGAGATTATTCCCAAAGCTCCAACCTGTCTCATCTTGTTTCCCTAGTAGATAAATTGGTCAAAATAAAGTTTTGTAGTATAGCTAGTAGGAGCCAAGGGTTGGAGTCATGCATTGGTTTCAAATCCTGCTTCCTGCTTTTTAGTTGAGTTCTTGGCAGGTTATTTACTGTGCATTCCTTAGCAGTGAAATGGGGATAATAAAAGTTCCTACAGCACAGGGTTGTGAAAATTAATGGCAATATATGTAAAGCTTGGTGACAGTGCCTGGCACCATGTATTAAGCATTTATAAATATAAGCTTTTATTACTTCTTTCAGAGGATTATTGTGAAGATCACATGAGAAAATGCATGTGAAAGGGTTTGTGAAACCATAAAGACTATCTTAATGGCCGAATTGTCTCTTTCTTTAACTTGTCTTTTAAGCGGAGCACAGAACGTTGGGCTACCCGAGGAAAGAGGCACCAGGCCAAATCCAGGCTCAAAGCGGTCATTGTCGTAGGGCCGCCCCTCCCCCGCGCGGAGCACATCTCCATGGCAACGCGGGGCTTCGCCTCCCTCCGCCTCGCGGGGCCCGCAGACCGGAAGCAGCCCGCGCCGGGGGCTTCTGGGAAACAGCTTGTGAGTGGCGTTTCTGCGTCTGCTTTGCACAGTGAAGCTGCTGTGGTTCCCGAGCCGGAGGTTTGCGCCAGAGTGGAGGAAAGGGTGTGAGGGGTACGCTGGGGTAGGGGATTCGGACGGCATGGAAGGAGCCAGCGAAGGAACCTGGCGGGGACTTTCCTCGAGACCCCGGGCGTGCGGGATGCAGGCCGTGGACTTCGCGCCCAGCAGTTGCAGCGCGCGGAGGGGTGGACGAAGGGTCGGATAGGGTTTTCTGCACCCTCCGATTGTCTTCCTTTTCCCTTGTCCTCCTCGACCCTTGTCTTTCCCTTCCCCCATCAGCCGGTTTTGTTCTATTCCCAGGCCCTGGCATCTCGCGCAGAGTTCTGGGAGTCGGTTCGGGCGGAGGTGGGGAAGGGCGGGCCTTGCGCGAGAGCTGCCGGGACTTGTAGTTCCGTCGGCCGCGAGGGGAGTACTGTGGCCCCTCTGTTAAACGTGCCAGAGTGGCCTTTGATCAGGTGAAATCCGTGGCGTTGAGTGCGGCGAGGACGGAGGAAATCGGGGCGGGGGCGAGGTTCGCAGCTGCACTCTGCAGGAGTGAGGTAGGGAGATCACCCAAACGAGGCTACCCACGCAAACTCTGTCGGGACCACGGGCCTGCCCTCCCGGCAGCTCCTGCACGGTCCACGAGCAGGTTGCGGTATGAGAACATAGAAATTTCTTTTATATAGGATGCTCGAACCGTTGACAAGGTAGGAATAAGAAGGAACAAATATGTTGGCTAAACCTTGTGTATAACGCTGCCCCACTCCAGAGTGCTTAAACTTCTGTGTGTTACCTGTCTGATAAGGTCTTTTCTGATCTTAGTTTCTATCTTGATAGGGTTATAAGTTTTTTTGAAATTAATTGGTTTTCAGATTCTGGGCCCTGAGTAGATACATTGGGTAGCAGCATGGTACATCCCTAGTGTGTGTGTTGTAAGCAGTGGCATGGGCATGACTGTGCAGATACTGAGGAAATGATCAGAAATAGCGCAAGGTTTCCCTTCGGAAGAAGCTGGGAAAATTGTGAGTCATCAGTGTAAGGACAAGATCTTGGGTGACTGCAAGAAGTCGAGGTGGTTATGAGAATGCCTTTCATAGAATTTTCTGGTATTAATGCCTGTCAGATTTAAATGTAATTATGTTGTGGTGAGCGACTGGATAATTTTCATTGTATGGCACTGGAGGCTATTTTTTTTCGATATTACGTTACCTGTTCTTGCGCAACCGAATAATTTTTCACGTATATTTTAAGTGTAGGGAGTTCTTAAACATTTTAAAAATATTTTTTTAACTTAAAATTTTTTTTGTCTTAAACTTTTTTTCCTTAAGCAGGTCATGAAAAAGCATCCTTGTTTTTGAGTTGACCTAAGTGTGTTAGGGAACACTAGTCTTGAGTTGCAAATAATGTGTTTCAGAATCAGATGCATTTAGAAATCACTGAGGTGGGCTAGTTCTTACTTGGATTTTTTTGATTTTTGAAATAGGGTGTGTTGATTTTTATAGGTCACACTTTTTCTCTAAAAGGCCAGGTAGTGTGCCCTGGTTTGGTGGGTCAGTGAATTGAGTGCCAGCCTATGCACTGAAAGGTCGATGTTTCAATTCCCAGTCAGGGCACATGCCTGGGTTGTAGATCAGGTCCCCAGCTGGGGGCCTGCAACGATTGCTGGCACACCTATGTTTCTCACCCTCTCGCTAAAAGTAAATAAATAAAATCTTAAAAGAAAAAAGGCCAGATAGTGAATATTAGGTTTTTCAGGCCAATCATCTCTGTGGCAGCAGTTCAACTCTGCCATTGTAGTGTGAACTGTGAGCAAATAAAATAATTTAGGGACATAGACACTTTAATTTCATACCATTTTCACATGCCATGAAGTATTTTTAAAATTTTTTTCAGCCATGTAAAAATGTGAAAACTATTAATACAAGTATTATACAAAAACAGACAGCAGGCCCGATTTGGCCCTGAGCTGTAGTTTGCAAGCTTCTGGTGGTTTATTGATTGGAATTTTTAACTCAGTAGAAGGAGAAATGTCTTAATGTCCTTTATCTCAATGTATGTCCAAATTCTTAGGGTATTTGGTCATTTATATATTTTTTTTTATTTTTTGTGCCTTAGGACTGCCTGTGAAGAAAACGAGGTATTTCCCTGAGGCCTAATATCCTGCCTGCCTCTATTGTTTTTTCTTGAAGTATTTATAAATCAGCATGTCTGCACAGCCAGTGGAAGAAGATTCGATACTTATCATCCCAACTCCAGATGAAGAGGAAAAGATTCTGAGAGTGAAGTTGGAGGAGGATCCTGATGGCGAAGAGGGATCAAGTATTCCCTGGAACCATCTCCCTGACCCAGAGGTTTTCCGACAGCGATTCAGGCAGTTTGGATACCAGGATTCACCTGGGCCCCGGGAGGCTGTGAGCCAGCTTCGAGAACTTTGCCGTCTGTGGCTCAGGCCAGAGACACACACAAAAGAGCAAATCTTGGAGCTAGTAGTGCTGGAGCAGTTCGTTGCCATTCTCCCCAAGGAGCTGCAGACTTGGGTTCGAGAGCATAATCCAGAAAATGGAGAGGAGGCGGTGACGGTGCTGGAGGATTTAGAGAGTGAACTAGATGACCCTGGACAGCCGGTGAGCCTGCTTGTGTCACTTCCTGGTCAGGAGCACTGCCATAACAGTAGGGGGTTCACTCAACTGCAGTATATGTTTTGTGTGGTTTCTTTTATGTGCAGTTAGTTCTGATTCTCATCAAATTCCCTATCAACTGAACCAAATCTTATTTCCAGGTTTCTCTCCGTCGACGAAAACGGGAAGTGCTGGTAGAGGAGATTGTCTCTCAAGAAGAAGCTCAGGGATTACCAAATTCTGAGCTTGATGCCGTGGAAAACCAGCTGAAGTGGGCGTCCTGGGAGCTCCATTCCCTAAGGCACTGTGGTAAGGACCAGAATTGAATGTGGGTAGAGGGTGAAAGAGTGTGGGCCTTTTGTCCAGGACCCTGTGCTTATTCGTGTGTGTGTGTGTGTGTGTGTGTGTGTGTGTGTGAGAGAGAGAGAGAGAGAGAGAGATTGAGAGAGATTGAGAGAGATTTCCTGAGGCTGGACACATTGTAGGAGCTTGATTCTTACAGCAATTGGTTTGCTGGCCTCAGGTCTTTTATCCTAGTCATCAACATCAGCCTTTTCTTCCCTCTCACCCCTTTCTCGAAGACCTCGCCATTTCAGACTGGCTGGTATTTGCCTTACTCAGAGCCAGTACCTCCTTGTGGACCAGGTCCCTGTATTTTGCATGCAGTGTTGCACATTTGTCATCTGTTCCATGTCCTTTCAGTTTCCTGTCTAATTTTACTTGTACAATAAACTTACCTGAAGCCTCTCCAATCTTTCTTTGTTACTGGAGTGTTTCTAAATTTTCTATTTTTTTTTCTCCCTCAATGTCCTATCTAGAGGCGTTTATTTCTAAGAAGGTTCTTCTGTAGAAATGATATTTGGGTAAAGCTATTCACCTTTTCTATGTATTTATGCAAAGAATAGACTGCCTAGCTATAATAAGCTTTAAATAACAGAAAAATTAGAATAGTCTTTCTCAGTATATTGGCAGTGAATGACACTTATTTATATTCTGTGATACAACTCAGTTTATTCCTAAAATTATTGGATATCTTTTTTCATATTTATGTGAACTGAAGTGAAATTTTGTTTGAGACCACTTTAGGGATCATTCCTTGAGGTAGTTGGAGGTGGAACTGGAGTGTCACAGAATGAGGTCTGAGCAGCTCTTCTTCCCATTTGATGGGGGAGGGGCAGCATGCTGGTAAATTAGAACTTCTGGTGTGGGGGCTGAAGTCTGCTGAGAATCCGCAGTTTTAATGTTTCATAGGACATTCTTCTGTGCAGTAAAGTTTGCAAACCACTATCCTTGGTTTGGAGGTGGCATTTTCTTACTTAGAAAACTTCTCCCCTGTCTGAATTTTAGAATACTTTTCACCTATCTTTGAGTACCTCACTTCAGCAGTCTGGTGTCTACTACACTGGAGAACTTACTGCTCACTGTGCCACTTGTTTCCACTGAATGTCCCCATGCCTCTGTTCTTTAAGTTGCCAGGTCTTGCTAGTCCCCTCCACCCTTTCAGTCTCTCTTCTTCAGCCTTCTCCCCTGACTTTATCCCTTTCTTTTTTTTTTTTTTTTTTTTAAGATTTTATTTATTTTATTTTAAGAGAGGGAATGGAGGGAGAAAGAGAGAGAGAGAGAGAAACATCATTGTGCGGTTGCTGGGGGTCATGGCCTGCAACCCAGGCATGTACCCTGACTGGGAATTGAACCTGCGACATTTTGGTTCGCAGCCCGCACTCAATCCACTGAGCTACGCCAGCCAGGGCTCCTTTCTTAATCACTTCTTGTAGGCTACTCACTACCACCTTCCTGAGTGCTGCTGCTTACCCTGTAGTAACTGTCTTGATTTTTCGAGGCTTGACATTTCAGGAAAGTCTTAAATGAGGCTTGTTCACATGGCTGTCCTCAGATGGGATCGTACCTCATCTGGTAATTTAGGCTTTTTTTTTTTCACTAGACTCTTTTAACTAAGACTGAGAAATAAGAAGTCATCTAGGTGCCCTGAGAAATACCGAATAGGGCAAGCTTCTTCTGCAGGAAAGCTTTGATTTATGAAGGGCATATTGAATTTGTGAGTGTCATGACCTGAATTCAGACAGGATGCTCCCAGCTCATCTTCATCCCCTTCCTGTGGGGACAGCTCCTGTGTTTGACTCTTAACTGGGACCTGCTTTGTCTTGCTTATTTCAAAAATAGTCACCTTCTGACTGGATACTTATTTTTTATACCATTGTATTTTGATGTAATTTCTCTTTTTCAAAGCAAAAGAATATTATAATGATTTTCTAATGGCCAACCTTATTTTTCTTTCAGAGTTCCATCCAGACCTAGTTGCGTCACTGTCACTGTCTTCCCAGCAGTCTTAAAATCTCCCATCTTTCTGTCCTTCGTTTTCTCATTTCCATCTATAACCCACTAACGTATGTTGCTACTTTTATTCAGATTTAACTTTTTAACCCCTCATTATATTATTTACCTCGTTAGCCTCATAATCAGTCATTTCATTTTTTTTCTCTTTTGAGGTAGGCAACCGTGACACCATTTTTCAGAGTACTGTTACAGATGTATGCAAACTATTTTACTTTTAAGTCGTTAAAATTTTTTCCTTGCAGGTTCCTTAATCTCAGAATAGAAAATGAGTGATATTTACATTTTCTGTTTATTTCAGATGATGATGCTAGGACTGAAAATGGAGCATTAGCTCCAAAGCAGGAGATTCCTTCAGCAGTAGAATCTCATGAAGTTCCTGGCAGTCTCAATATAGGTGTTCCTCAGATTTTTAAATATGGAGAAGCCTGTTTCCCTAAGGGCAGGTTTGAAAGAAAGAGAAATCCTTCTAGGAAGAAACAACATATATGTGATGAATGTGGAAAACACTTCAGTCAGGGCTCAGCCCTTATTCTTCATCAAAGAATCCACAGCGGAGAGAAACCCTACGGATGCGTTGAATGCGGGAAGGCGTTCAGCAGAAGCTCCATCCTTGTGCAGCACCAGAGGGTCCATACTGGAGAAAAACCTTACAAATGTCTCGAATGTGGAAAAGCCTTTAGCCAGAATTCTGGGCTTATTAATCATCAGAGAATCCATACTGGGGAGAAACCTTACGAATGTGTTCAGTGTGGGAAATCCTATAGTCAAAGCTCAAATCTTTTTAGACATCAGCGAAGACACAATGCAGAAAAACTTCTGAATGTTGTGAAAGTCTAAGGAATTTTGAAAAATGTCAGCACTCAGGTCTTTTTCTTCAGAAATGAAGACAAAATCAAAAACATGGAATGATACATAGTAGTTTGGTTTCCCTATAAGAATGTTAGAAAATCCACTGGGAAATGTAGAAAATTGTCACCCACCATCATAATTTCATCTTGAAAGAAATGGTGTCATACCTGCCTAGAAACTGAAATTTTAACCTTAATTCAGGTGTTAATGCCTAAATCTTCCATGTGATGTTTATATTCTGTTTTTTCCAAATAATCTCTATTCTTTGTCCCCCTTCTTAAAATTTTCTTTTGTAGGCAAATACATGAGTTCTGTGTTGATCATTGCGATGTCCTTTGCAAGGATATATTCCCTTCTACACTAAAAGTCAACATGGCAGTTATGAAGTCTGAAAACTGAAGCCATCTTTTCAAACTTTTCTGTTTCTTTTGTACCCAATTTGGATATGCATTTCAGAAAATAGAAGATAAAAGATGGCTAAAAGCCTCAAGGTAAAATTAGAAGTGCTGGTGATAAAACATCAAAAAGTGAATGGGACACCTAGATTGGGAAAGATAGAGAAATACTTGGATCCAAGAATTGAAGTACATTAAGAGTTTATCTAAATGCAATTATCAGCCTGTAAGAAAACTCAAAAAGGGCGCACCCTGTCTGTAATGTGGAGACATCCCACCAATGAAAGTAACATCCTCCCGTGGTTCATCAGAAGGTGGGTCGAGTAAACAATACTCGTAAACTAGGAATGTAGAAATGACACTAGGGCGAATTCGCAGTGAATGGCTGTGTTGAAGGGCAAATGTAAAAGGGTAATGGTCTGTCTGGGACTTGAAGATCCAATTCATTATCATTTTGCCTTCATTTTTGTTAAGGACAGGAAAATCTCTGACCAGGTGGGTAACAAGTATCAGGTTTGCTACTTTATTTTTTTGGTGAAAGAAAAGGGTTGAACACCAAGCTAACAAAGCAGCCATGTGTTCATTTGTTACTAAACATTTTCTACCGACGAGGCACTGTGCTAGGTACTGTAACCCTGCCGTGAGTAGGTAGGTAATTCTTTCACTGTAAGTTCCTGGGGATTGGTACAAAGCTGTTGCTCATGAGTTAGCCTCTTGCCCACGTCTGAGCAGTCCTGGGGGAGGTCACCTCTGAAATTCTCAGAGCCATGCTTCTCTCACCAGGGTGTCACATTTGGGGGGAAGGAAGACTCAGAGAGCTAGCCATCTCTCCAGCATTCTTCAGTAGTGAGTCCAAAATTCTATCACAGTTTAGAGGTTTGTGCATTTAAAAAAACTAATCAATCTAGAGATCTAGCATTAAGGGTGTACTTAACATGTTAAGTTGAAAGGATTGTTTTGTTTTAAAAAAACAATTAGGTTATTGACAACTAGTATATTAACTCTCAGAATTGATTGAAGTATTTTTTTAATTTTAAGTCTTAACACATTTTTAAAAATGTATAGAAGGAGTACATTGTAGTGGTAGGATTATATACTCCTTGGCCGAGAATCCCAAGTACTGTGGTTCTGCTATTTAGTGGAAAACTCTAGAAGTTAAAATACAGAATCTGAGAAAAGGCGTTTTTATAGTGGGCATCGTTGTGTGGAAAATGACCCATGTGAATACAGATATTTCACAGTTCCGGAGATTTGGGTTATAGCTGGTGCTTGGATCGAATTTTAAAAATGGAAGGTGAAGTTTGCACGAGCCTGTGCAAAAGCGTTGTGGTAAATGCAAGGCCCGCTGGTGGGGAGGTGAGGCAGGTGGAGCTTGTTTATAGGTTTTCTGATAACAATTATAAGAAATGTGCTTTATAGATTAAGATTTATTGAAGTATAAATATGTAGAATTGATATAATGTATTTTAAGTTATACAAGAAATGTAGGGACTTCTGTTGGGGTCTGTTTTCTCTGTGGCTGAGAGGAAACAAGTCAGTGTCCAGTAACGGTGTGGACTCCTCTGCTCTGAGATAAAATGATCTTGAGTTTATCGAATGATTTATTTATAACTGACTTCTTTCCAAGTAGGCTTTGAGGTGGCATATTTGGAATTCTGCCAGGGTGACAGGATTCTTCTATCAGAGTAGGTAAGAAGGGATCAAGCTCTCAGTGACTGAAATTTCGTGCTTGCTTAGATTTTATGTCTTTCCTGAATACAAAGAAGCTTCCATGTGGTAGATTTGTCTTAAATGCCAAAGATGTTTGGTATAATGTGAGAGCTTAGAAAAAGTCGTATTAGAGTTGGCAGATATGTGTTTGTCTTGCCAGCTCTGATACCGGGGGGTTGTTTGGGAAGGATTCTGAGGCTAAGGCAAGGCTTTGTGGGGGAAATGGCTGGATCCAAAGGACTGGCTGATCGTGCGCAGGAAAAGGAAGTGATCTGTGTACTGGCTGGCTCTGATTAGGTTATGTCCCCAGTAGACAAATTGATTTAAAGTAACTCTTCAGTGACTTATGATTTCATCTCTACCTTTATGTGTACCCACACAGCTAACTAGCAGTTCTGGGGGCTGCCCAGCCTCAGATGAAGTGGTGATCTGGCAGTTGTCAAGCAGTGGCGTCTGTGTGGTTGGCAAATGAGCACGCAGTGTTAATGGCATGCAGACTGCTGATACCTACCCAGTAGCCACTGAGCTTTTTGCTCATTACTGCTAAAGTTTTTTCTGGTGTTCTTGGCGTTTAAGCTTCCTATACTTAACACCCAGTTGGCACTTGATCATTTAGCAGTACGTCTAGCAATTTATGTAAGTTGAAGGGAGGGTTATATGTATTGAAATAATCTGCATGCCAGGCATTGGACTAGAGACTGTACCTATCTCTCTTAGATTTGTAGACTTAGAAAAGCAGGGTTCAGAGACTGTGAGACTTGCATGTGGCCAAGTAGAGCTAAAATTCAAGTCTAGTTCTGTGAACTCCACGGACGTATATTTTTCCACAATGCCATGAGTGGTGGCTGTTAAACCTTGATTTTAGGTTTTACCTTTTATGGTTCAGATGCTTTTATCTTTTATAGTTAACAATGTGAAAACTATTAAATATGCTTGTTTAAATTTTCTATAGTACAGAATGTAAAGTGAAAAAAAAGACATTCCTTCTCATAGTCTTACTCAGAAATAATAATTACTTGGTTTGTTATTCTTCCAGGACTAGGCATATACAAATTTAATTGACAATGTGTTAATAGCTGACACTTGTGGTTTCTATAAAGGCACTGTTTGAAGTGCTCTAGCATGGATTAACTCAATCCTCACAGCACTCATACGAGGTAGGTACATAATGCCCATTTTACATACACGCACTGCGATTTGCCTCCTCTCCTTCCCAATTTGGTAAGACCTTGTTTTTCATGGCTACATACACTGTTTCATTGCATGAATATACTCTAATTCATTTAACTGACCCCTGGATATTTTGGTTCTTTATAGTTTTTTATTATAGATAAAGATATAGTTAACATCCTTGTACATCTATTTTGCTGCCTGTGTGGGTACTTCTGTAGGATAAATAGAAGTGAATTTTTGGGGTCTTATTGTGTACATTCAGCATTTTAAGAATTGCCACCCAAAAGATCGTAGTAGTTTACAACTCCATCAACAGCAAGAGTGCCTATTGGCCTACATGCCCACCAATCCTGTATCCTCAAATATTTTTGCCTATCTGATAGGCAAAATTTATTTCCTTTTTATTATTAATAAGGAGGAACATTTCTTCTTTGTTTATTGGCCATTTGCATTTCCTGTTGTGAATAGTGTTTGCCCATTTTAATTTTTTTAATTATGAGGATATAAATGACTACCAGCTCATTGTACAAAATGTAAATGATACACACAGGTATAAGGACAAAGAGACCCTTTTCTGTAGCATTTCCAATCACATTCCACTGTCCGCAGGTTAGTGTACATTCCTCTAGTCCCCTTTCCATACATATCCGTGTGAATACACATAAACACATAAAAGCTATTTTTACATGAATAGGATCATATATGTATTGTTCTGCAGCTTACTTTGTGTGTGTGTCTCAAAAACTTATCCTGAGGATTTTAAATTTCTTTAATGGTTGAATAGAATTCACTATTATGAAAATACCGTTACTGGACTGTTTTCTTATTTTTTTTCTCTTGCTATTACATTGCCAAAGTAAATCTTTTTCATATATATTTGTGCATGTGTGTGAATATTTCTTTAGGATGGAGTTGTGTAGGGTGGATTGTTGCATCAAAGGTGTGCTCTCAGATAGACCCACCTTAGCCTTCCCATAGGCCTTCATAACTTTATATTTTACCAACTGTATGGAAAAGCTCATTTCCCCATATAGCCTTACTTACTCGTGATACTTCTATCGGATGAGAAAAAAAAAAGAACTCTTAATTGCATTCCCTGATTAATGGTGAGTTTGAGGTTATTTTTATGTGTATTGGCCATTTATAGTTTCACCATAGGTGGTTCATATCCTTTTCCTGCTTTCCTATTGGGTTACGTGCGGATATATGTTTTCGTTTGTTCAGCATCTCTCCCCATCTTGTGGTAACAGAACCCTTATTTATTGTGGGGAACCCATTCCCTGTGGCTTAGGTGAGTACCCGACCAGGTCTGGCCTTCCTGAGTTCTGCAGCTCCCTAGCCACAGTGATGAAAGAATAGGGATGTTACTCAAACCAGGCTACAGAGAGCCCTCAACAGAACTTCTGTGGAAATGATCAGAAAGAAGGCTCTACGGAGATCCCACGAACTAAGGACTTGTGTAAGCCTGAATTTGTACCATGTGGAGTTTGAGGAGAAACTCAAAGAGAACTGAGTTCTGGTATCATTTTTCTGGAGGCCCTAGTCCAGCTGTGCCTAAAGCCTGCCCTACCTCCGGACTTTAACATTTTGTGAGCCAATAAAGTCCCTTTCTTGTTTAAAATAATTGAATTGGTTTTCTGTCCTGATTAATATAGGTTATTTGTATTTTCTTATTGATTTGTAGAAACCTTTGTAATTTCAAATTCTAGACTTATACTTCATGCATTATACAGGTTAATAAAATTAGCATGGCCTTCCCTGATTTGGCCTTTGTCAACCTCTGCCATTTGTGACACCACTCTTTGTACCAGGGGTCCCTCCACTTGGGAGCTGGGCACACAGCAGGAGGTGAGCAGTGGGTGGCTGGCCTCGGAGGGATCTTCATCCCCCTCCCCACCCCCAGCCCTGTGGGAAAGTGTCATCCACGAAACCAGTCCTGGTGCCAAAACGGTTGGGACCACTGCTCTATGCCACACACCACGCACGTGTACTTTACACACCAACAAAAACTGAACATTGGTGTTGGGAATGTCTGTGGATGAAAAGCTTTTCACATAATCAAGTCTTCAGGCATTTTTCTGCCTGTCCTTCATTACTAGGACTCCAAGACGGGGGATTGTGCTGGTGAGTCTGTGCTGCACCCGTGGACTTCCAGCCACTGCTGTTGCGTTCCCCTCAAGCATCTCCTGTATCTGATCCTTGGAGTCCCTCCCCGTGACCTCCATCCCCCTTCCTTCCCTTCCATGCTTCTTCGGGGTCCTCATTTTCTGCTCAGCCCTGTGGATTTGAAATTGCCCCAGCCCAAGATCTGGGGTTTACCTCTTGCTCCTGGGTGTGGTGGTGGAGGGGGGGAACATTGTATGACATGGTGAATAGTGAGAAAATAAAGCAGGAAAGAAGGGATAAAAGAAAGTCAAGGAGGAAAACCACTACAATTTAGATAGGTTGTTCAGGGAAGGTTCACTGAGAAAGGTTTGGTGAAAGACGAAGGGTATAGGAAAGCAAGCTGAGACTGGAGGAAAGATGTTCCAGGCATGTGAACACAAGTATGAAGAACTGGGTGTGGGAACAATGCCTCATTTGTTCAAGAACCAACAAGGAAGCTAGTGTGTCTCCAGCCGAACGATCATGGAGGAAAGTAGATGAGGCCAGAGAGAGACGTGGGGTGAGGGTTGTGGGCAGGACCTGGTCTTGGGAGACCTGGTTAGCCATTGGTGGGACTATGACTTACACTTTCAATGAGGTCAGAAACATGACTAGTTGTTGAGAATAGAACAAAGCGTCCAGCTATCTTGTTTTTTTTTTTAAAGTCTCAAATATTTCTTTACATACTTTATTTATGAAGGCAGTAATAGGAAAATTTAGAAAAAAATAGGAAAATAGAAATAACAAGATGAATCAAATTGATAAACCTAGCCAGACTGATCAGAAAAATAGAAGATAAAAATTATTCAGGAATGAGAGGTGTGATATTACATCATACAAACTCATGTAAAAGTTCTGTCAAACTCTGACCCATGTGGCTTGGTTGGGTGTTCTGCAATGTAAAAAGGTCACCAGTTCGATTCCTGCTCAGGGCACATGCCTAAGTTACGGGTTTTGTCCCTGGTTGGGGACATGCAAGAGGCAACTGATTGGTGTTTCTCAATTGTGTCAATGTTCCTCGCACTTTCTCCCTCCTTTCCCCTTTTTAAAAATAAATACATAAATTTCTTTTTAAGTTCTAGTGAAGTTTATTAATCATCTCGAGTCCAATACTCATTCACTAGACATTGCTTGAGCCATCAGCAATATTTTGCATAATAGACATTTTCATTTGGCTTGAAGAACAACACAGGTTTTTTCTACCTCTTGGGTGCTTCTCAGTCTCAATGCTAGTATTTCCTCATTTTTATGGACTTACATGTTGGAAAGTCTGAGGGCTCAGTGTTCAAATCTCTTTTCTACTTAATTTCACTTCCTAGGCAATCTTATCTGGCCCCATGTCTTTTTTTATTTTTTATCATTCAGTTCCAGTTGTCTTCTCCCCACCACGTTGCTCTCCTCTGTCCTGTCCAACCCTTTCCCCAGAAACAATTCCCACCTGATGATTGTCCTTGTCCATGGGTCCTTTGTACATGTTCCCCTTCTTTCCCCGTTATCCTCCTTTTCCCTCCCCTATGGTCACTGTCAGTTTGTTCTTCCATGTCTCTGGGGTTTTTTTGCTCATTTGTTAATTAGGTTTCACTTATAGGTGAGATCATATGGTATTTGTCTTGCACTGCTGGACTTATTTCACTTAGCATAATGCTCTCCAGTTCCATCTATGCTGTCACAAAGGGTAGGACTTCTGCTGTGTAGTATTCCATTGTGTAAATGTACCACAGATGTGTGACCCTCTCATTTACTGTTGGGCACTTAGGCTGTTTCCAGCACTTGGCTATTGTAAATAAGGCTGCTGTGAACATAGGGATACATAGGTTCTTTTGAATTGGTATTTCAGGATACTTAGAGTATAATCCCAGCAGTGGTATAGCTGGGTCAAAAGGCAATTCCATGTTTAGTTTTTTGAAGAAATTCCATACTGTTTTCCAGAGTGGCTGCACCAGTCTGCGTTCCCACCAACAGTGCGCTAGGGTTCCCTTTTCTCTACAACCTCACCAGCACTTACTGTTTGTTGATTTATGATGGCCATTCTGAGGTGTGAAGTGGTATCTCATTGTGATTTTAATTTGCATCTCTCTGATGGCTAGTGATGCTGAGCATCCTTTCAGCTCTGGGCCCTCTGTATGTCTTCCTTGGAGAAGTGTCTGTTCAGGTCCTCTGCCCATTTTTTAATTGGGTTGTTTGAGTTCTCTATATATTTTGGAGATCAAACCCTTGTTTGAGGTATCATTGGCAAATATATTTTCCCAAGAAGTTGGCTCCCTTCTTATTTTGCTGATATTTTCTTTAGCCATGCAGAAGGCCCTATATCTTTAAACACTATTTCCAACTCCAAAATCTGTGTCTCAGCCTAGACCTCTTTGCAGTGCAGGTTTGTATTATCCTTTTGCCTACCAGACATCTCCATTTTGATACCTGCTTTATACTGGGCTCTTAAGAAAACATAGCCTAAGATAAGAGCTTACTGCTAAAATTGTATTGGGGTGATGTAATCCCAGGAAAAATCCCGAGGGTAACCAAGAGGTGAAGCAGGGGTGGAGAGAACAAATGCAAGTAGTTGTTACTGAGCTGGCTACAGCTTCTAAAGAAGCATGTAAGTTTGCTTAGTCTCACTGTTTTCAGAGTGCAAGTGGTATGGACTACCTCACCTTCACCTGGTGGAGTAGGAGGAAGGAGAAGGCGTCAGACACCCCTCCCGCTCCAGTCAGCTTCCACCACAGAGCAGGCACTCCACACTTCTAGGTGGCACCACTGAGCCTCTCCAGCAACAACCACCAGGAGGTCAGGATCCAACACACCACCAACAGCACAGGGGGAGTGGCAGGTCAGATATCAGGTGGGAGTCAGCTGCTCCCTTTCCCCACAGCCTCCCGGGCCTGCAACCTCAAAGGTGGTGGTGCAGGCAATCTTAGGGGCTCATTGGTATCGTAAACCAGAAACCCTGGCCCTGCAACTAGGAAGAGGCTGATAAACTAAACTTGCCACAATGACTAATTAGGCATCTCAAGTCTAATGTGTCCACGTCCCAAAACAAACTTTTACTTTCTCCCCAAACATGTTCTTAGAATTGTCCTAAGCTGGGAAAGTAGCTCAGGCCTATAGCCTCCTATGTGCCCTCCTTTCCTATGTGCCCTCCTTCACCCAGTTCTCAACACGGCAGCCAGAGATATGTCACATTACTCAACTTCCCTGCTCAAAATCCTCTTCTTAGCCCTGGCTGGTGTAGCTCAGTGGATTGAGCTTGGGCTGCGAACCAAAGTGTCACAGATTCGATTCCCAGTCAGGGTACATGCCTGGGTTGCAGGCCATGACCCCCAGCAACTGCACATTGATGTTTCTCTCTCTCTATCTCCCTTCCCTCTCTAAAAATAAATAAATAAAATCTTAAAAAAAAAAGCAAAAAAAAAAAATCCTCTTCTTGCTCTATTGAAATGTCAAAGGGGCATTGTGTCTGCAACTGTTAAACATACCTGAAAAAAAAAAGGCACATGTATTACATACATATATATAGAAATGTACACATCTGGGTAGATAGCCAGATAATCTGGCCCAAAATGTGAATAGTGCTGAGGTTGAGAAGTCTTCAAGTATTATAGTTTTTACAATTTTTTAAAATTGATTTTAGAGACGACAAGAAAGAGAGAAACATTGATTTGTAGTTCCATTTATTTATAGTCATTGGTGCTTTTTGTATGCTCCCTAAGCAAGGATTGAACCCACAACCTTGGCATACTAGGACAGTGCTCTATCCAACTGAGCTACCCAGCCAGCATAGATTGAGAGTAGTTTGTGCTGGGTTGGGATTAAACTTCACATCTTGGAGGATGGGGAATCTCTATGTATTATTTGTAATTCTCCCATAAGGAAGATTAGTCTCTCCTTCCATCTTTATTCACATCAGTATGGACTCATGTATATTTATTTGGTGTTCAAAGTTCTTTCAGGTTGATTCCTGTGTTCTGTTGACATGCCTCCATTGTATTGTTTTTTGAGCTCTTACTATGAGATGCTGCTGGCTCATCTTGTTTTTCCTGCCCTAGCCCTAGAATCAGCCATTTCTCAAAGGAACCCTGGTCCCTTTTTATTTGCAGAAAGCTACTTACAAACCATCATTTGGGTGTGTTCATTGACACTGGAGTGTCATTACTTCTAGGTCCTCTCAGAACACAGCTAAGTAAATATATACTAGTCCATGTATACACATTTTATAATTGTTTCAGTGTCTATCTGTGTGTGTGCAAGAGAGTTCATACTGATATCTGTGGCTCTAATTATTCTGGTCATTTTTGAACACTGACTATTATACATGAACAGTTACAGTGTCTGGATAGGTGTCCTCCAGAGAGGATTCACCTTGTCTTCTAACTGTCAGCTAGATTAGGAACAGATCACTTAACTTTTACTGAAAGTCAGACCTGACATGAGACTGTTTCAGACTTTTTTTAGACTCGGGCCACACTGGTTTCCTTCTTATTCCTA